ATGTTTCTACAGTAGTCCAGAACGCACAAACCAAACACTGGCTCTAGATATGGACTGTCACATTTTTCTTTAGTTAATCTTTTACACTTCACAGCCCTTTCTCATTCCCAGGTTGTCAAATAGATGTAAGCGGTGCTCAGTTAGTTGCAATCTGCAACTTCAACCACTAGATGCCACTAAATCCTCCACACTTTAAAGACAATTCAGCAATGCATCAAGCAATACAGCTCAGTGTCAGCTTTTCAGCAGCAAGCAGTCCCACCACAATTTCTTCAGGTATTGAACTCCTTTAGTTATTGTACTTACGTACAGTACTTGAATAAATATACTTAGTTGCCCTGGTGGCTGCCATGGTAACATAATGCAAGCATTTGGACAGTGTTTTTTCCCTGCACCTGGCGTTCCTAGCCTGGGAACCAGACAAATCTCCCGAGCTCATGATGTTTCATTTGCTCTGGCAGATGCGTCAGGCCTCCATTCAAACTGAATTCCACCCATCCTGGATCTGGTCGAGACCAATTATAAACATTTATTTAATATAGGGCAGGTTTTATACGATGATTGACAGAGGACTGTCCGCAGTCCAGATTTGAAAAGTCTCGTCACAAGTTTTGCTGCCCTGATTGGTTGTTGCATTCAGTCTGAAGGTCCATCCAGTGCAACGCCCCAGGCTCATGAAACTTAGATCAAGCTGTCAAACTAGGCAGTGTTGATCAAATATGAATCAAGATTCTGTTACTATATTAGTGGTGGCGAATTAGTCTGACAATGGTTTTCCTATAAACTTCTTGTAGACTCTGGAGTATTGGAGCCATACTGTATAAAACTTCAGTAGCCGTTATGCTAAACAGTGCTAATGTTACCTCAGACCCACCAAAGCTGTTTTTAGTGCTCCAGTTGAGTTTCTGTTTTACAGCCCCAAATTAGCCTGATTTAGGAATGTATTACTAAAACAGTGCATGGTGAAAGGGCATGCAGAGTTCCTGAAGAGATCGGTTTCAGTTAGTGCTGCTCTTTTTTCTATCAGTTTTTCCATGAAGCTCTGAGAACCTCCACTGGAAATGGGTTCTTGCAGCCAACATAAATGTTTCTCCAGCTCTCACCTATTCAGCATCTGTGGTGATTCACAAAATGATTTATATATCTTCCTCTGTTACACATTCATATAGCCAGCAGAGAGAGACTGAGATTGTCTGGTTGCGTGCGTCTAGTAATCTTGATGGATTTTGAGCCCTTCAGTTGAGCAGTCAGTCCACCCACAAATATGTGGTGGTGGTCGAGCATCCTGCTACAACAGCAAATACCGCTCAGCACAGACCCTTCCTCCGCACCCACACTGTCTTTTGTTCCTCATGTGCTCATTTAGTAGTAGTTTAGGCTGTTTTCTTGATGTATCTTTTGTAACTTGGTGGGGTTTTGCTTTAGCAACTGGGTGGTCATTATTGTGCTTTCCTTTCACTTAATCAAACAAGCCTTGAAAACCGTTCCAGTTAATCTGACTTCACTGCAGTTAGACTGGTGCAGAGTTTTTGTTCATTGTTTGAATTATACTATTATTATACTATTTTATCTAATTATACTATTAGTTAGAGGTTTGCATTTTACAAAACATCCAAACCGGAGGGACATGACCAGCCTTTATCCCCCTCTGATCCCTATCAGTGCTCTCTTAGTATATGTCACTACCACTACAGCTGCAACTAATGATTATTTAGTAATTAAATAATCTATCAATTATTGGGTTAATCGTTAAGTCTATAAAATGTCAGAAAGTAGTGAAACATCCCAGTTAAACAGAGCTCAAGACATTATGTCTTGTTTATGTCCGACCAACAGTCCAAAATCCGAAGATATTCAGTTTACAATGATGAGAAAAACAGCAAATCCTCACATTGGGCAAACTGGAACCTGTCAAAAAGTCGAAAATTGTTGCTTTTAAAATAATCATTTTTCTAATTGACAATTAATTGATGAGCAAAAGTATTGTTAATTGACTAACTGATTAATTGTTTCAGTACACATACTAGTGTAAGATCTGCTTTGTACGTGAAGTAACTTTAGAAATTTAAGATGATTGAGACAATTTCCCTCATGTGTTTGTATTTACGAGATTGTTATGACTGTACTCAATGGAAAATTACTTAGTATTTCTGTTAAATGAGATCAACTTGAACCAAGACTCCAGCCAAGTAACACATAAATAAAACCCAACTATTAAACATCACCTTCCCTTCAGATTTTGCCCATTATCTAGTTCACCTAAGTGTTACCCACAGATAACATTCCCGTAAACTGATCTTGTTGTGCTCTATAAGTTGCATACAAATCTAACTCACTCAGAAATAATTGCATTTAAAATATTTTCCCTTAAAAAACATCAGTTTTTCCCACAATACAGACCTAGATTAGCTGGTAAAATTAGGATTTTTAGACTAGAATTTGCAGCCTAGTCCTGTTTCTCCCCTGAAACGCCTCCACCACCTTTAAGGTATTCAGCAGAAGTCTTGTAAACTGCCCTAAAGACCAGATGCTGCATTCTCTGAAAATAAAAAAAGCCAGACTAATTAAAAACTTAAAAAGATGAGGCAGTTGTTTTGTTAATAAATCCAGGGTGTGTCCTACCTCAGCAGTCAGGTGTGTTTGTGTCCTGGTTTAAACCCCACGCAGTGAGCAGAGCAGCTGCAGGGTCCAGCTGGAAGGCTGAGAGTTGGATCCTCAGTCAATACATTCCCAGTGAACGGAGAACAGCATCACCCTCTCTCTCCAGGAAGAAAAAAAAAACGGCCCCCAGAACACCCCCACCGACGGAAAAACCTCTGCTGTTAGGGTGAGAGGTTCAGTTTCAGTTAAGAGCTCTTCACTCCTTCTGTGATCCCACCAACTGTACGTCTCAGGGACTCAGGTTTGAAAAGGCATTGTTTGGGACTTTAGTCATGTGCTTTTCATCAGGAGCTTTGAAGTGATGCCAGGATAATTAGCTTCAGACTCCTGAATGCTGAAGTCTTTATATAGAACATACTCGTAGGTCTGTCACCTCCCCTCGCTTCTCGGCCGGCTGCCATATTAAATATTTTACATCAACATGAATGGGTCCTACACTAAGGCCTATTGGCACTGGGTTAAACAAGAATAGAGGGACTGTACAGCTGCTGAAGCTGTTTGGGTTTTCTCAGTGAAACATCAAATGTTAGGACGAAGGTGAGCCGACCCTCCCAGGGAGTTATAGGATGATGCCATCTGTCTTTAAGTTTGAGGTGTTCCTTCATCTGCTCCTTAGTAACTGACCTTCCCAAACAAAGAACTGTGGCCGCCATGTTGACCTACACAATTTAGTGTTTAATTTTTTACGTGAAATTTAAGCCCCTTTGTTTATGCACCTTGTTATGTTCTGCCAATATTGCTTGTTGGACTTATATCTGAAAAATCATGCATCAAAAATCATCACATAAAAGGCTGTAAGATTTCAGATACACTTCTTTCACAGCTCAAATGTTTATATCAAAATATTGATGCTAATTTCTAGAAAAGACTTAACCAAACTAGGAATAACTGGCATAAACACACAGGCAATTTAAAATTTACAAGTTACCAGTGAGAACTGGGAGCTTTCTGTTTATGTTGTGGTAGATTTCCTCCTTAATTGGAAAGCAAAGCCAGGAGAGGGAGAAGAGAAACAGAGATGATGCTTTTAACATCCAGTCAACATGATTTGTTTTGTGTTGTCTCCTATCTTAACAAGACACGACTAAAGCTTTACGTTTAATGCAGAAATGATAAATACCTCCCAGGAATGGAAAAGCTAACAGGAGCCTGCTCCCTCAGGGGTTCACGTGTTATACTATTCCTTTTTCCAGTCAGTGCTGGTATTTTCTGCTGAGCTGAGCTGGAACGGCATTCTGAGGCACAACTTATGGCAGAGCCAGACCATCCAAATATGCCCTGGTTTGGCAGTCAGACCAACCGAAATGGGAGCGGGTCTGTGTTCTGGTTTCAATGCATCTCCTCGATGTGGAAATCATATTTTCCAAACCATCAAGAGATCTGGTTAGATGATTATCTCATCGACAAGGAGCTTGCTGAACTCTCCCATGTTCAACATACTCTGTGAAAGAAATGTCTTTCTTTTTAAGCATCTTAAGCTTCTTTTTTATCACCAGCAGTTTCCAACTGTCCATGAAAACTGAAAGTAGTAATTAGTAATAGTATTTCTAATGCAATATTTTGTTCAAACTGAATTATATTTACAGGATTTTTTCTTCTCATTTCATTTAAGCTTCAAATTCAGCTGCTTGTGAAAAAACTGAAGATACAGTTCCATTTAAATTTAAATACCTTTTGCATAACAAAGCCTGCTTCAGTCTCTAAGCTAAAAAGAGTCTTGTTTGTACACATTTCTGTCTGATGGTGGACAATGGGGATGTCCTGTTCTTGCATGCATCTCATTCGTGCTTTCATGCTTTGTGCACGTTTATCACAAACAATAAGGTTCTCACTCTTATTAACGGTCTGCATTGGTTTAAGGCATTGGCACACTCTTCAGTTTTCATCATCAGATGTGTAAACCGGGGCATCCTGCTGGCCAATGGGTTTAAGCACTTCGCTGTTGGTGAATTTCAACACTGAGTTGAGCAGTGCCTCAGTTACAGTGTAAAATACTATTATCTGATATGTAAGCAAGTTCACATTTATGGTTCTCCTGTTAAAACCTCAGGCTCAGTTTCCACTGCCTCATAATCACAGCTTCATAGCTCTGTTGAAACAATACTCTGTTAAGAGCCAGATTTTAAGATTAAAGGATACCATTTTCACAAACATTGCAGTGATTTGATTAGACCCTGATGTAAACCTGCTTGGGAGTTTTCTGCTTTCTCTGCACTATGAGAGGACACAGGCGTTGTTCTGCACTGTACAAACTACAAAAGGAAACTTTAAAATGTTGAAGTTTTGTTTTAAGCAGGACGTTTGTCGTGCCGTCATCTTCTGTTGTGCATGAAAACCTCATATTTCTCAGCTGACTGGTCTGCCACAGAGAGATTTAATTCGGTAGCTTTAATAGTCCGAAGAGGGAAATGGGTTTGTGGTTATGAAAAAATATATGGCGTAATTGTTGGAATTACTGTATTCAAACTGCAAATTAAATGTTAGAGATTATTTCCTGATGGGAGATGGTCTGTGTTCCTGATGGGAGGCGGTCAGGATGTCTCTTGTCTCTCAGGACCTCATACTTTCCAACCCATCAGACGTCTGTGACGGCTCTGGACCGGCTGGAGCTTGTTGTGCTCTTATATTGACAAGAATTTCCTCCAGCTGAGCCTTTTAAATCTGTGAGTCACCGGGGCAACTTGCAGGGTGACGGTGCCAAGGAGTTGCCTCAGCGGTGCTGTTGCTTTCGTGCCACAGGAACATAACATTTTAATAGAGCTGTGACAGGGTCACAACTCTGCGTGTTACCTGCTGCTGGGAGTGTTAGACGAGACAGACTGCACAACAGACCAGTGTCCACCATCCTCAGACTTTACCATGACCTCACCTCACCATGAGTCCACCTGACGAAGGAATTTTTGAGGCTTGCAATTCCAATATTATTTTTTTTTTTTTTTAATCTGGAAATTATAAATATTGTGCATAGGCTCCATTCTGAGAGTAGTCTGGAGCTTGGGCACCAACAAGTAATTGGGAGCACACAGAGCAAAATCATAAAGGGGGCTCACAATATTATTATATAGTAACATCATCAAAGCCAGATAAATAGAAGACTGGACATTGTATCGTTGCAGTGAGTTTCAACTAGAGTCCCTAGCTATAGTTAAAGCTCAGGTAGGTTATAATATTTTAGAAGTATTTTTGTTATATACATATATTATATATACATATATTCTTATATCCTAAAAGGAATTGATAAATGTTCTAAAAAAAGTGAAAACAATCCTGTATTTGAGGCTGTTGCAGGCCTGTAATAAGATGTCTGTCTAACTGGATGACAATCCCACTATGTTTCAATCAGTCAACACTTTTAGTGCCTCTTCTTGTATTTTGTATCTTGGCCATATGACCTAATTGCTATGTAAATGTACGTTAAACAAGCACACAATAACTTTTAAACTGAAGTGGGTGCAAAGTGAGTTGAACAATGAAACGCGTTCTGTCCATTAAGTGTTTAATGAAGGTAAAAGGACACAGTTGAAGCTGAAAAAATTTACTGTGAACATTCTTGACATTAGCAACATCAGTCAGTCATTGTGAGTTGCCTGATATATTTGATATTAGTTCTATTATAAGATTATATAATTTGGTATTAAATATGGGGGAAATGCAAACAGTGCTTATTTCGTACACTCGTACAGTACAGCACAGTTCTTTGAAAGGTGTCTGTTAGAGGGTTCTCTTAGAGGAAATGTTTCTTCAGACCACATAGTCCACATAGCTATACTCATCTCCATGAAACTCTATTGGAAACCCTCTGATAACCACAGTCCCCACTCAACAATGAATGCCACGTAAACACGGCAACTGCACAGAAAGAGTCTCCTGTTCACTAATAAGACGAGGGGAAATAGAAGTTACACCCCAGTTAGTATATACGCAGCCCTCCGTCACTCTATAGCACAAAGTGAAGGAAAATCATTACTGTGCTCATTGTTGTGAGGCCATCAACAAGTCTGAATCTGACACTATAAATTAAAACCAAACAATAAGGTTGCGTGCTTCAATAATAATTCCAGTTTAACTGCACCAGAGGAAGTAACTAGAGGATAAAAAATGTAAAAGATGAAGGAAATGGGCCGATATGTCATTATATCTTCTGTCTCATAATCTGTCACATGAAAAAAGTAAAGATCAGATGAACAACTGAAAAAATTCATGTTAATTTGTGACCAAAACTACAAGAGTCTCAAATAATTCATCCTGTTATTCAGCTCAATGAAAGTCCAGCTCAGTACCTGCTCAGTACTGAATTTGTGAGTGAATTGATCAGCTATATGTCCTCATCCTGAGGAGCATTGATGTTGGTCATGTGAACTAGTGACTATTAGATTGTTCCTTCATGTACTTGAGACTGATGAATGCAGCAGCCGTTCATGTTGGCAGACGGGAAGAATTCTCTCCTTTCTACAGGAAAACCTTTGATCTCTGAGCTTCGGCTCATTGGAAGAAAGTTTTCCAGCTGAAGTACGAAGAGATGACGACCGCCAGCATCTAGAAACTGACCAGACATTACTGATTGTTGTTTTTATTGCTTTTCTACTTTTAGGTTTATTTTTGTCTGCATATAATTACCTAATATTTCCAATTTGTCTTCCCCAAGAAGGAGCTGAGGTTTTTGTCCTCTTCACATTTGAGCTTTTCTGTTCCAATCGTCCTTTAGATCTGTCTGCTACTGAAGTAAATGATCCTAAGCCTCAGGCTTTCAGAGGAAAATATTATGATAAAGTTGGCGTTCAGCTCTGATAATTACAGCTTTCATTGGATGTGTATTGCATGAGGACAGACGACATGTGATGCGAAGATTATCACATTTCAGCATGACATATTCTTTAATAATCATTATAGCTCCACCTCCTCCCTGAGGCCTCAGGTGTTAATTTGATAACATTAAAGTAAATGAATGGACTCCTCAAACTGGATGTGCTGACAGTGTATGGGATCAGGAAATCCAGTGGAATATAGCCTAAATTTCTGTTTGGATATGTGACTCATACTGTACACCTCACAGGTTGAATATTTGCATTCACTGTCAACATGCCTCCTAAGAAACCTCAAGTTGTTGTACAGTGTTCCAGATGGAAACATCAGACTTATGTAGCCTCGTTCCAGACCTCTGAATCACCACTCTGACTTTCTTCATCATTTCAAATAGGTCTGCTGTAGTGCTCCTTGATGGCAGTCCCCAGATTATCAGGCTGTGACTTATAAGATTTATTAAATCTTGCCTTTTTGTTGTACATTTTTAGAGCAGGTTACCTTATATTAGTAGGGGTGACATTGATTGAATCTGTTTTCTTCCATGAACCTGATAACAAATATCTGTGGAGTCATTATGCCTGCTAAGTAAGAGAGTTGATATATTCCAAAATGGACTTAAAGAGCAAATGTGGTTCTCTACTATACTCAGGGTCCAAAATGAACACCTACCAAGCACCAAATGTGGGTATATTTTGGGTTTGACAGAAAAGAGTGGCTGGTAAATAATTGATATCCCAGAGTTGCCAGGTTTACATCGCTACAGTTTTAACGTGAGCACTGAGACTAATGTGAAGCTCACTGTTAGCTGTACATATCACAACAACCAATCAAATCAAAGCAGCTTACTACTATTTAATGCTTTCTGCTCAATGTCGTTCTATGTTTTTGCCCTAAGAAACATCTCTGTTACATGTTACTAGAGATGCCAGTGTTACACCACCTAAAAGACAACATGAAGATGAAAGAGAGAAGTCACGAAAGTTGGCGTTTTTGCGGAGCAGGAACCATCGAGATCCTGGCTAAAATATGAAGCTCAAAACCAAAATCCCTTTTTATGGTCAGTAAAAATATTTTTGGCTGGTAAATTTTCTCAGTTTATCTTCCATTGGCAGAAGACCTCATTTTGGACCCTGACTATACTGGTAATAGGAGTCTGTGAACACGGTGCTGCCCACATGAGCAGCGGATAAAACTCAAGTCACAGGAGTCCATCTGATGAATTGGAGGATATTACCTTATCACAGATATACAGTATATCGACCACTGAGTAACAAAACATGTCATGTACATAATTTGTCCACCAGAGAGCACTGACAAGTTTAATTTTAACCTATAAAATGTCCTGCTCACTACATATCTTGGTCTTGGTATGTGTTTGTTTTTCTTAATATCGGCCACTGCACAGTAATCAGCTTATCAAACTGTAATCAACATCTGTATTCAGCCTTAAAAAACAAGTAGTGGTTGGGTTTTAGTTTGTTCCACTCAGGAAACATGAAACAAAAAGAAACACGTATGCAGTTCATGGCATGCATAGTCCCAGTCATCTGCGCAGATGTCCTCGATAACCTGAAGAATAAACCTTGCAGATCCTTGCAGTTTATATGGTATTGTACTTTGAAACATAATGAACGTGACTCGTAGTATAGTGACCAGAAAATGTGACTTGCAAGTTCTGAAGTGTTTTTATTTATATGGAGTAGTTAATGTAGGTGAGACTTCATCAATAAGACAATAATAGGAACATAGTGAAGTTTATTTGACATTGTCACCGTAACAAACATTGTTGTCAACTATAGTATATGATTGTTGACACATCAGATAGACATTTTGTCATATAATCTATGCATGTTGGCCAGCCAAGAGCAAAGTGAGGGGCAGCTGTATTTCAATTCAAATGTTCAAATACATTTTTTTTTAAAGTCATTTTTTGTATTTGTAATAAAACAACTCTTCTTAACTGTAAATTACACTTAAATATTTGGGCACACTGTACCTCTAGTCAATGTTATTTAAAGCAGTGGGACGATCTGTGAGTAAAGAACATTTATTCCCCATCTTCCCTGCCTGTTCATAAAGGATTTACTCTCCCAAGCTGCAGAAGCCTGGTTTTATTCACTCTCAGTGCTGTTGTTTACTTATTAATATATTACAGTTTAGGCATAAACATAGGGATGGGAATTTATTTTGTTGATACTAATATCAGTTTTGCTTATTGGTCAGTTATCTTATTGCTTCCTGAAGAATATTTGTAGAAAAGAAGTAGGTTTACACAGTTTTCAGCATCAACACAACTGTTTTATTATCTCAGTCTAAACACATAGTGTCGAAACAGAGTACAGTTATAGTAGTTTGAGCCACGCTTTTTGACCGTTTCTTACTCTCTGCCATAAAAAAACATGATAAAAGGATACCACCAAGCATATCCATACGATCCCGATGGCTTGGACAATTTGGAACCAGTTCTCGATTCCCATCCCTACATAAACATAGACCTATAGTATTAAATAGTTTCTGTGTTGAGGAAATGTTAAATGGGAATTACAGTAGGGAAAATACTTCTGGAGCCAGTGGTTCCCCCCGTATCTCAACTCTGTTCTGCTTGAGGAGTGTCCTTGGAGAGACTTTGAGGTCAAAGGCATTCGTTAAAGGGTTCTCCTTGAAATTGTCTCTGACCACATAGTCCCAACTCTATAGCAAACCCTCTGATAACCACAATGCCCAATCAACAATGAACGAAGCAACTTGAACACACCAACTAAAGGTGGATGTAACTCAAGTTTTATAAGTATGTGTGCGGCCCACCGTCACTTTATATTACAAAGTGAAATGAAAGCCATACAGGCTGATTGTGTACAATACCTGCATTTATTGTGGGGCCATCAACAGGTAAAATCTGACACTGCACTATAAATCAAAACCTACACCATACGACTCCAGTTAATCCCTTGTGTCAAGAATAAATCCAGTTTAACTGCACCAGAGGAAGTTCCTGCCCTGCTTCTATGCACTGAAGTGCGGATAAAGAACATAAAAGATGGAGGAAATGGGCTGACATGTCATTACATATTCTGTCTCTTTATCTGTCAGGGGAATTAGGTTCTCCAACAGCACTCACTTTAACTTAATCCTTTAACCGTCTTCTAATCTTTTACACAACTCTTGAATGATTTGTCACACAATGTGATCTCACTACTCGCAGTCCTTTCCATGTCAGAGAAAGGAGGCACTGGAAGAAACAGAGCTGAGAAATGGAACATGAAGGTAGTGAGGTTGTTAAAAATAATGTGTTGGGCTTGTGGTCTCACTTCATAGAATTCTTTCCATTTCTTTATTAGCATTTTCATTTTACTGTGTATGGTGCAGGAATTCTTTCCATTTTAGAGAGTTTAACATTTGACTAAAGCAGACAGATGTGTTTGATTTTGAAGTCTGAAGGTGTTCTGTCACCTTCACACCAGTATAAGTTGGGCCAGGCAACAGTGCAAAACAACTTACCAGACCTAAAACAGTGTACTAGGGCTTGAGAAGAAGAAAATCTTTTATGCAGCTCGGGTTCAGTCCAAGGATATGACAGGACAGTACATTCCCATAAGGCAAATTACATTAGTGGCAACTGTGTTTTGAGTTAAGTTTCTTTTTGTCCTTGTTCAACCTGTACATCAGACATGAAAGCCTATTTAAGTAATTTAATATTATTTTTGTGTAATTTCAGGAACATACAGCATCAGAGGAGGCCAGTGAGGGAAAATTCATCTTAAATTGTGACTTCTCTTGGCAGATTAAAAACGTTTTGCCCCTGTCTTTCTGAGGTTTTAAACAAGTGTCTTTTAGTTTTTTTGTTTTGTGTGAATTTGTCACATGTCACTTGGTTTTCTGGGGTTTCAAGATCACACTTGAAGAGGAGCGTACACAAGAAAAGGCTGTTGGTGAGACCTTCAGGGGATCGATGTAGTTGTTTTCCAGCCTTAAGGCAACCAGAGTGGAGTCTCCGCTGTGGTTCGGGTCGCAGATGCTTTCATCAGGGATACTCCTGGAAGACAGGTAGTCAGGGTAGATATGGAAGTTAGATACACTTTTAGTTGAATCTAGGACTTAAGCTCCAACTAATGTTGTTTTCATTGTGAACTGCTCTGACGAATATTTCCTCCAATAATTTATTAATCATTTGGTCTATGGCATGTCAGTAAAGTCTGAATAAAGGCCATAGGGCACAGTTAAATAAATGTCTTGAGATGCCAACAGTCCAGCCAACAGTCCAAAATCCCAATCTATCCCTAATCTATCCAGTGGACTATTACATAAAACAAAGAAAAGCAGCAAATCTTCACAATGGAAAAGCTGGAAAAAGGTACTGTTTGGCTTTTTTGCTTGAAAAATGACTTAAGTGATTAATTGATCATTGTACTAGTTGCTGATTTTTTTTTATGGGTTGATAAACTGTTTCAGCATTTAGATATGTTTTATAGCCTCTCTGGTGCAGAGCTTGACTGCGTTTGTTTATTATGGGTTATTGTTTGTACTGTAACACATATGGTAAAATAATCTGCATTATTTGCTCGATGGCTGGTTCCAATTTCCCACCTGAATTGTCAGCCATGTTGGCAGTGAAGATGGAGCATGATACAGTGTTTGACTTGTAAAGTTACTTTTATATAAACCCATGCTACAACCTGGACAACTGTGTGTGCCGTGCATGGACCTGTGAGTGAGTAATGAGGTGATTCAGAGTGACTCTCAGGTGGAAATGTGAATCAACTTGTTTTGTTCCTTGTCGTCAAGACAACTCTCCATCCAACTTTCAGCTTTAATATTGTCTGGTGGGCTGAGATGAATGAGTCAGTTGTCTGGTCGGGTTCTGGTCTGTTGTGGGACTCTTTGTTGTCGGTCTCGTATTTATTTTATATCAATTAAAATGTTTCCTTGAGCTTTTAATCATCTGAGTTTGTTTTCTGTTGGAGGCTTCTGCTGCTTAAATTGGCAGCAAAGTCAATGTCTTATATTTGTAGCTTAAATGAGTTTGAATAAATAACACATATTGGCACTGCTAGTGTGCATTCATATTGATTGATGATGTTATATATAATGTCATAATATGGATCTTTTCAGATCTGTACGCTTCCATCCTGAATTGGAGATCAGAGCGGCGTTCAACAAGTAGACATCAAGTACAGATGATCACACAAATGTATATCCAAAGACAGAGAGGCTGCTGCATGTGTTTTAATGCACATATTAAAACAGGATCAGATAATTTTGTTCGGTTCAAATTGTGTTTTGTCTACCTTGAAAAAGTTTACTTATAGAGAGAATTGTTGT